AACACAGCAAATGAAGCCATTTTTAGAATTTCTGTATAAAAAATCAAATTATATATACATACACATTTATATGATTGAGAATCGCAACAACAAAAAGAACATATACTTATACAAATTATAGCGAATTCAGTTTTTTAGTTATATACATATTCCCAAAATATACACTTATATAAACGATTATATACACAAATTAAAGCTTTATACAAATATACAATTGACAAACCTAAAATAATTTTCATATACATATACCTATTATATATAAATATACAGTATCAAATATCCAAAATAAGGAAAAACTTGCACTGTATAAATATACAAATTCGAATAAACTAGAGCGAATTCAGTTTTTTCATATACTTATACAACTCACAACAACACTAATAGGTATATGTATATAACTTACAGGAAATTCAAAATTTCATTTATATGCATATTATCAATATACACTTATATAAACGATTATATACACAAATTAAAGCTTTATACAAATATACAATTTACAAAATTATATAAAAATATACAAAATCATATATCCAAAATAATGATGAAGATGCACTGTATAATTAAATATACAAATTCGAAACAAATAGTCAACAGTTTCATATACGAATTATACATCTTACTGAATCATATCAAAACACCTATACGTATAATTTCTTAACAAATCATAATACAATTTCATCTTCAATCATAGTTTCGACACCAAATATACAAATTCGAACAAAAATATTACTGTGAAAAAAGCGAATCTCTGATAAAAAATTCAAAATAATCAACAATTTCATCCAGAATTCAAATTAACTATACAAATCATAAGTGTTAAAATCTATTATGAACAAAATATTCACCTCTGAATCTACATTCAATTGAAATTGATGAAAGTTTAAAAGGAAATCTGATTTTGAATACACGCTGAACACCAATTTCGACCAGAAAAAACAAAATTAGAGTATTTTTTCATCATGAAATTACCTCCTGTTGTTATCTCTAAAATCAATATGATCTCGATTGTTTGTATAGTACCGTCAACATTTTGATCGATTTTCTAAATTGAGTTACAATGGAGTTCTTACTGTTGAAGAAGACGTAGAAGGAAGAAAATTCGATTGAAACATAATGTGCGTGACTTCAACGATTTTTTTCCTTTTTTTCTAACCGAAATTACCACCTTTTTATTTAATTTTTTGAAAAATCAAAATGTATATTAAAATGAAGGAATACCGAGATATACAGAAAGACAACTTCATAGCAAACACAAATTTTGCTATGGAGTGCAATTATATAAACTATAGCCATAACATACAATTATGAATTTTATATTTGCTATACATAAAATTCTCTTATTAATACTCTATTTTATTTTTATTTTTTAATTAATTTTTATTTGGCCCACGGGCCGATCCTATCCATATTTCTCAAGCCCCACAAATCGGCAGAATTATTGAGACCGGGCTAAAATATCCTTTACTTAAATGGATTCCAAAAATTATAACTTAGCCCTATCAAATTACGAATTAGATCAGGCCGGCCCAACGGGCCTAGCCCATATTGACGGCTCTAATGAAAAGTGAAGATATGGGCTCCACTCTCCGGCATGAGCATCCATCCCTTTTTTTTTTACGAGAGGTATTTGCTCTAATGGTAAGCACACCTCACTTTCAACCTGAAAATTGAGTTCGAGTCACCAAGTGAGCAAAAAGGGGTGGAAACTCCCTACCAGGGAGGGTTAAAAAAAATAAAAAAGCTAGTTTTTCTCCAAGCGTCTCATTAATAAAAAGGGCTGGTGGAGTGAGAGGAGAAAATAGAGTGGCGGAGTGAGTGTTCCACTCCCCTCTTATGCTTTAATTCACCATCTCCTCACCGAATCATATGATGCAGCGGCAGCAAAGGCTAAGGCAAAGTCGGAGCCCGGCATGGGATAATCTACCCAGCACAGCTCTTGTTATTATATTCTCCAAATCCTCCCTCAAAGATCGTATATACAACCTCCCTTTGGTATGCAAATCCTAGGCTAATACCTCTCATCACCCTCACTGTTGGATCTCTTTTACTGTCGCTCCTCCTGTTGATGCCTTTGTAAAATCTTCACCAGCTTTTCTAGACCCTTTTGATGGTAGACGCAGCACCGATCCCCAAATTGGCATTCATGCCTTACAGTCTCTTATCAGTAAAGCTGCTGGCGGATCCATCTTGACCTCTCTCTATGTTTACCCTTTCCTCACTTCTCTTGATGGCCCTTCCAATGACGATGCCCTTCTTAAACTCATCGCTACATCGTAAGCGCTCTCTCTCTCTCTCTCCATTTTACAATTATTGCTGAATTTCCTCAATTAATGTTGTGTTGTTATTTTTCCATAGCTGCCCCAATTTGAAAAACCTATCATTTCATGGATCCTTCAATGCCTATGAAGAAGTTTTATTTCAAGTAGTACGGAGCTGTCCAAATCTGGAGCTTGTGGACTTTTCTGATTCACCATACTTTATCCCTGCGATTTTACAAGAGATGGAGATTCACTGTCCTAATATTAGAGGCATTAGACGAAACGGATTTGTGCAACCTTTTCTCTCATCAACCCTCATAAAATGCTTCCCAAGTTTGAAGCTTCTAAACCTTTCTGATTCAAGCATTGGTGACAGAGACTTGCTCACCCTTGTCACTAGTAATTCTAGACTTGAATATTTGGATATTATGCGCTGCCAAAGCTTGATGCTCTACATGCACATAATTAAGGGAGCTCATCGTCGAATTGCTGAAATTCACTATGATTGAGTTTCCAACTCTGCTGGTATCTTGCCTAATTTGGATCCTATTGCTATTGTACTGCATAATCAGGGTTGAACGTATTTAACAGATTTGTATTCTGTTGATTAACAAACAAGTTGGTGACCATGTACTATTTACTGTTATTTGCTAAATAGATTGTTAACTTGTAGCTTAAACATTTTGCATTAGGAAGCATGAATGTGAGGAACTGGTTAGGAGTTGAACATGCTGGCTATAGTATTTTATTTCAATTCCATCCCCAAGTGTTAGCATTCAAACATGTAGACTTGAAAGTTGGCAGAAACCTATTTTGTAAAAGGCGATCGCCTCGTCACCAATGGTGAGAGGCGAGGCGTGGCGACCCTTCATCGCCTTTTAGCTTTGTGGCGAGGCAATCTTCAAAAGGCGACGCCATGGAGAGAAAGGCGAGGCAATAAAGCCGTCGACTTTTGTATTTTCTTAAAAAAGACAACCAATCTAGGATTTTAAAAGGTAATTTTAGGGGTTTCTTTACACTCTTAGACTTAAAAAGGTAATTTTAGGGTTTTCTTTTCAAATTTGCACAGTTACACTCTTAGATTGCGACTGCAATTCCAACCAGACTAGACTTCTCCGGCAATCAGCCAAACTTTTCTAGCAACTCCAAAGTCCAACCAATTCATATTTCTTCTTTTCTTCTTCAGTTTTCTTCGTCCTTTGTTTCTTTTTCCATCTTCTTCACCAGACTTCAGTGTTACTTCTACCTCTATTTTTATCTCACTGTTTTGACTTTTGTTCTTTTATTTTTTCTCATTCAAGTTCTAGACTTTTAGTATGTTCTATCTATTTTTAATTTTTGAATTGAAATATTTACTAATATATTATTGCTATTGAGATTTTGATTATTTACATATGCAATTAAATATTTTAATTTTTTTGTATTTATTGGAGCCGCACTTCAAAAAGGTGAGCGCCTCGCCGTTCACCTTGTGGCGAGGCAGACCCTTGTCGCCTTTTGTCGCGTTTCACCATCGAAAACATTGCGGCGGGCTAGAATTTTAGACACTGAAACCTGTTGAAGTTTGAGGTTGAAATAAATCATTAGAATATTGAAATTGTCCTGACAGATTTCGTCTAGCAAGGACAGTAGCCTAACCCTTGTGCTTTGATTTTTACATCAACAACTGTTGAAGATCATGTTTTACTTTTGCTTTGGTACTTGAAAAGAACGCTAATGACATTCACAAATATAAGTGGACAGTGATAATAGAATGATTTTAACCTTGAACGTTCTGTCTCTCTTGGGATTTTCTCTTTCTTCAATATCCCAGCTTTAGATATTAGTGTTTTTTTTAGTGTAATGATATCTTGAACCTTCTTAACTGGATTAAATGTTTCTCACTGATAATTTGTATTCAATAGCTCTCTTGCACAAGTTGTTTACGAATAATTAACAGTGATCGTTTTCAGATACTCTCTGGGCCGAGAAATTGTTAGATCGTTTGCTTGTTGACACTTTGTACCTATCTTGTAGAGTCGTCTCACGTTCAATACACCACTGGCCTTCCTTCTCATTTGTTATCTATTCTAATTTAGTTTTGAAACGTGTTTGAATAGTGGCGTCTCTCATCCTCTTTAGGTCAGTTGGAGATAGCAGTTGGTTGCTAAGACATGTTTTCCTTTTGACAGTTGCTACGAGTCTCAACCATGTTATTGCTGCTATTAGATGCATTTGGCAGTTCACCGTTAATGCGATTTCATATACAATACTGCCAATTTTTATTTCTTTTGCTTTGCCATAGGATGCTGCTTGGCTTTCTTTGAATCACCTAGAAGTTGTATACCGTCAGTGCCCGTTTGGATTGGCTTATTTCCAGTGCTAAGCCAAAATAGCTTTTAAGTAGTTTTGAAACGTTTGGGTAAAGTTAAAAAGTGTTTATAAGCACTTACTTTAAAGCCAAAATATAATAAATTAAGCCAAAAATACAAGTTAGAAATCCTAACTTATGGCTTTTGACTTATAAGTCATAATCCAAACAGGTCCCGAACCTGGCAAACCTCAGCAAACTATATTTATCTGCACCTTAAATGATTATCATTCTCACTTCTGGCAGAATGAATTAGATTATCTTTCATAGTTGGAAACTGGGAAATCTGTTCTCTTTAGCAGTTCAATCTATTCTTATTTGCTGTAGCCTATTTTACACCATTCATGGTTTCATAAAATAGAGTGCCAGCCAGTGCCAAACAAAAGAAATCTCTCAAACCATAACAGCTAGTAGTAATTTAACTGTTGTAATCAAGACAGCGACAGTTAATGATTACAATATTCACTAAATTGAAAAGTGTCTCCAGTTACATAACAATTAGACGTTCCGAGTGATCCTGCCAGAAATGGCAAAACTATCAGTCTATGGGATGTTCGTGTAGGCTTCTCATTTTCTGGGTACATCTACTATTGTCTCATCTTCATCCCACCCAAAATTTGTGTCTCAGCTGCTGCCCTTCCAATGTCGTTACCATCTTGAGGTGAGAGGAATCACCTTTATCATTGCACTGGGAATAACAGCTATCAACTGCATACACGGAAAACACCCGTGTTACAAGTTGAATACACATGAAAACTGATTCTCCTCCGTTTTGATTTGTTTGTCCTATTTTGACATGACAGGAAGTTTAAAAATAAAATAAAATATATATATATATATATATATTTTAATCTTGTGGTGTAAAATTTAAGACATGTCAAATGTAGCAAAATGTCATCTGGACATCTTAAACATGTTATGTGGAAAGTTTAAATTAAAGAATTGCTAAAAGAGGAGACATTTTCTTTAAATGGATGGAGTAGAAGATTGCATCCAGTTAACTGATCCTCATCAATCAATAATTTCCATAATAAGTTCCATAGATATAATACTTACCCAAGCAAGGCCAATGCACAAGATGCTAAAACCAGGATATCGAAAAGGAGGTTTTTCTGAAAGGAATAAGGCTGCAAAACAAAAAGTTGCAAGTGTTAGCTTTATGGGGATAGAGAAATACTTTGCTATGGCATAAATATCAATTCGACTTACCGGTAAGAGGACTAAATATGAAGGGGGAGAGAATGTTAGCTATGGAACTTATGCTTGAAATGCACCCTTGAGCAATTCCCTAGTAGAAGAATGAGAAACATCGTACTTGTTAGAAAGCGCTTTTTTTACTATTTTAAGGTGATGCTGGAAGCTTTTTGTATATCAGGCATTAATCAGTCAAATTCTCAGAATAGAGGGACTAGTCACCTGTTCACTAGGCCCAATTTGTTTTGAGAAAATGCTTTGAATCTGCAGTTATTAAACATCCATCAATGGTCATAGACTCATAGGAGTAGAGGAATGAAAAAGGAAAATATTGAAAATAAATCTGAGAAAACTCACAGAGGGTTTCACGAGGGAGGTGAAAATAGGCAACAATGCAGCAGTATAAGGAATCTGAAAATCAGGGAGTTAAATGCACTTGAAGCATAAAGACAGATAGAAAATTCAAGCTCAATGTTTTAGAATTTACCCAAATTTTTCGTGCTACACTGTCAATAAGAAGCTGCAGATTTAGGTAAAAATTAGTCGTTTGCCCTCGTCTAAAGAGGAGAGATCAAATCAAATCAAATGCTGACATCGTTAGTGTTCCGTATGAGGATTAGTTGGAATCAAAAACTCCTGGAAAAGTACATTTTAAGTGTTCACATACATTTGAAAATCCAGCAATCAGTCCTAAGCATAGCAGAACCTCCTCTCCTATAAGAGGAGCCAACATAGGCATGAGGAGCAACTGCATGATTTGAAATATTAATATATGAAATATAACCATGAGGAAGAAAATATAAGTTTCTCCGATCCATAGCAAAATGTACCTGAGAAGTTGCTGAGCAAATGTTGGCTATAAGCATCACATCAGCAAAGTTATCTTTTTTGAAATGAAATCAAGCCTTTAAGAAGTACTGCAGGGAAATATTTAAAGATACTATCAAGTTAACCATATGGTTGAAAGAAGTAAAATTGGCCTTCCAAAAGCTCCCCTTGCTTCATACTATCATGTATCGATACTCCAGCTTCTCTCAAGATGAACCAGTTTTCGACATGCCAAAATTTTACAGCAAGGACTTATTTTATTCTAAATATGATCGATGGTTAATACGTACTTAGGTTGTCATCAATGAAAGCCCAATTAACACTTGAAAAAGGAAAAAAAAAAAAAGTACCTGAAATGGAGCTTGTTCTCCTCCTTCTGCTAGGCTATTCAAGAAAGCAACAGATGCTGCAAGAGAAAAAGTAGGACTGCAACACGACATCAACAATTGTCATCATATCTCTTCTTTTGTTAGAAAATTTGATGATAAAATAGCTCTTGTACCATCTACTTACCTCTTCCTAAGAAAGCAAATGATATCCTTGAGGGATGGAACTTTCTTGAACAGCTTTATATTCTTTGTAGTCTCACAATCCAATTCAGTATCTTCCATTTCATTATTTCTCAAAATTGGCTGGTCCTCAATAGAATACTCTTTAACGCGAGCTGTATCCTCTAGAAAAATTTGCACGTATACAGCAGCAATTGTTGATGCAATTGTTGCTACCTTCATCAATAAAGAAGATCATAAATAGAACAAAACTAGATCAGTCAAAAGCTAAAATTCAGAGAAGAATCAGAAATATCTGAGAAGTAGAGAGGAAGTGATCAGCTAAGGTTCCACAGACAAATGCAGCAGATCCAACACCAGCCAAAATTCCGATTGCGGAGGCACGCTTTGCCTGTGACATATGGTCTGCCTGAAAACACAGAGGTTGAAACAAAATGTTATTAATAATTGCATTGTTTTTAGTACTATATTTGTTTATGTGGATAAAGTATAAGAATATAGGGTGTAAATAGATTATGAGGCAAAGTGATGTAAAAAGAGAATGTATTGGAGAACAATAATTACCACAAAAGCAAGGGCCACACACTGAATACCACCATCACATATCATGCCAGTGAGTGTCCTCAACACATAGGAGACATAGTAAAATTTCTTGGTCCTCCTATATGCCAATATGACTGTCAAATGTGACTTCCATCAGTTAGAACTTCTTTTTTCTTTAAAACGAGAGGAGTATTGAAAACAATTCTAAACTTGATTCTGAACTATTATCAGCCTTAAAAACACCAAACTACTAGACTAATTAAGCTTAAATACATCCCTGATCTTGCCACTTGGCTGAAATACACCCCTAAATTCTCGCCAAGTTTATGGGTATTTTTAACACTCCTCTCAGCATTTTATCAAGAATCTCACGCTCTTACAAGAGTTTGAGATCACTTGCTATGTCGTGTAGTAAATCGGGGGTGTATTTAAGTTCAGTTAATAAAGTAAAGAAGTGTTTTTTGGGTAGTCAATAATTCGAGAACAAAACTAACAATTCACACCAAATTTAGAGATGTTTTCAATACTTCTCTCAAACAAATATTAAACAAGTTGGATGATGTAAGAACCTGGGGGAATGATGGAGAGAGTGACTGGGACAGTGAGCAAAGCTTTCCTTCCATACACGTCAGACAAATTCCCAATAATTGGCATCATTACCACTAAACCAATTCCAATTATCTACATGCATCATCACAAAATTCAATTGAAAAACTACCATATCAGTTAACAATTAGTTATTATGATTAATTGCAATAAGCACGGCAAACACTTCCCCTTTTATATTATGAAAATTCTACCAAAATATATTTTTAACTAAGTATATTAAATATAATTATTAAAAAACAAATTAAAATTAGAAGTACCTTTTACATATTGATTTTTATCAAATTCAAAAAAGAAAAATTTTCATGTTGAAAGTTTTTACTGTGCTTTGACTAAAAAGAGAACAAACATTTATTGAAATTAACATCGAAAAAAATTATGTGTGTATATACCTTGAGAAACTCGAATATAAGTATCATGCACCCATATAGAGATCAGAAGTCCACCTTGGGACGTAGGTTTAAGCCAATGCACCCTCCCGCCCGACCAAGGGTTGATTTATAACATCGAAATTGCTAGATAGGGAATTCCAACTCAGGGTCGTCTTAACCCCTAGGCTAGATAAGCCATCGTTTGGGCCCCATACTTTTGGGGACCCATTTTTTTTTTTTTAAGTACTTATACATATATTTAAAAAAATAAAATTATATGTACTTCTAAGTTTCTTTTAAGAAAAGGGTAAGAAGTAATTATTCAAAGTGGTTAATTTCCACTTTCCAAAGGGAATTGAATAACATTTGGGAATTATTTTTCTTATGTTGGAAACTTGTACTTCCTTATTTATTTCCTAATAGTTTGATTATTTACCATATGTTCATCTTTTTTATTTTCTATTTTATTATTTTTATTTTAAATAGTGAACTCTCTCCTAAAATTTTTATTGAGTTACTGTTGCTTACAAGTTACAAAAGAACAAATCTACTTTTTGGTGTCTTCTTCAAAATTTCAAGAAGTACAACAATCATTATGTCGAAGGAATGCAACACTATCTTAATATATTTATATCAACTTATCAAATTCTTGAGTCATACTTTATTATTCTGTACTTTTTCTTGACTATTTGTAATTGTTGATATTCTTAGTTCATAAGTATATATATATTCATGTTTTAGTTATTATTAAAATCTATTCAATTTAAATATGTCAACAAGAAAAAATTATTTCAAATTTACAAAAAAAAAAGAGAAAAAGAAAAAACTTGAAGAATTAAATAAATCTAAAAAAAAACACTTTGATAGATTTTTAACAAATAATAAATCTTGAATTGAAAAATATGGAGATGTTCTTGAAATAAACAAGTCATTAATAGAGTTGAGTTAGATGATAATAATATCAAAGAAGAAAATCTAGAAGAAGTTGCTGAAAAATGTGGCATAGATCCTAATAATCAAGAATTTCTAAATAATTTAAATTGTTGCATCCCTAAAAATATATGTGACATTTTATTTTTTTTATAAAAAAAACTAAATAAATAAATATTAGGGACCTCTCTAAAGTTTAACTTTATGCTCCCAATCTTATTGAGTTTCAACTCACGACCATTCAGTGCAACAAACCTCTCTAAAACTTGTCTGACTCCAAGGCCTAAAAAGATGGTGCATTACAGGGATATTTAGCGAATTCGGCTTCCTTCCATTTTCTCAAAGTTTCTACTTGAATTGATGACACGTGGCATATATACTGCTTAATTTGATTATACCGCTTTACTATCTTAATCGCAGTGCTTCGATTAGATTCATTTATCCTCCATTATTTATCTGTTTCGATTGATTTGACACACAATTTTTTATTTTATTATTACATCATAAAAAAATGTCACCAAACCTAATGTATGGACACCCTAAAAAAAGAAGACGATGTCTAATTAAACTTGGCGAAGAATATGTGTTAGGTAAAACAGTAAAAATAAAGGGGAGAGGGAAATGGCGAGAGAACACTCATCTTGAGTACAAATCGCTTGTTGAGTGACTTTCTAAGTTAAATTATTCAAAGTTTTACTCTTTACAAGTGAACAACTCCGAAAATTTAACTATTCAAAGTTGAATAACCATATTATCTCTGTTAATAATAGTAATGCATAATAATATGTAAAAAGTACAAATCGCTTGTTGAAAACCAGATAGGTAAATGACGAGAGAACACTCATCTTGGACAGGACAGAGTAGCGTCATAGTTACATCTGGCATCGCCGGAGTTACAACAAATATGGCCAACTGCGACATAAAAATCGTCACAAACAAGTGCTTTAACCCTCCAAACTTATCCATCAATATATCCTTCTATTACCACTATACTATATACTATACTATCATTTCTTATATATCAAATTATATAGGTATACGTGCTGAAGAATATAGTATAAAATTAAAAATAGGCAGGGCGGTGCAGTGGACACTTGTTCACCACCCACAAGCTCATCATCAATTCTTGCCCCTTCTTTCTTTTCTACTATTCTACATGTTTCAACTATGTCAAATCAATTCTTTCTATTTATTTTAACTATATATATATATATATATATGTTTTATGCTTGTCTACTTCTACTTCAATAAATTAAGATTCAATTATTTTAAAAAAATAATTTATCCTTATTTTTAAGAAATTATTTCCGCACTTATTCAAGTACTCTCTCCCTAATTATTTGTCCACTTTTAAATTGATACACCTATTAAGAAAATAATAATTGATATAGTGAGTGTTATTTTACCCCTATTAATTATGAAGTGGATGAATTAAAAACTTGAGATTTTCAAGAAGTTCTACATTTTTCAAAGTAATAAATTGAGGGTATAATAAAGAAATTTTTTTTGTCGTTTCTTGATTTGTCAAAATGGGCAAGTAATTAGAGACAACTAAAAAAAGGAAAAGTGGACAAGTAATTAGGGACAGAGAGAGTACTAATTACACGAGTCCTTGTCGGTACAGATTTAATACATATTATTTTATTTATCTTAATTATATTAAATAGATAGATTTGCGAGAATCAATCAATTACTTCACAAATATTTACAATTTTTCTTTACCGAAAAAAAACAATCAAATTCTTCGTAATTTTGATTGTTATGGTAATGCATAAATTGAACAACTAAAATAAGTTGGAGTTTACATTCGTTGGTTCGCCCACATAGGATGCCATTAATTATAACCCATTTTGAATCGTAACAGAAAATTTATTTCAGCCCTCAAAAAAATAAAAATTGAAATGATTAAATCAAACATGCACATAATCAAAATTTAATTAATTTATTATGAAGTTTAAACTTACCCTAAGTAAACTCGCAATGCCGCTCTTTTGATTTTCTGAAATTCTCAGCCAAATTTATCATTTGCTTACGTCATCTAAGTGCTTATGTGAGAATAAATGATACTTATTGTGGGTCCCATCCAACTCTTTTCCTTCAAATTTTGTTTGTTTGTTGTAAAATGGTATTTATTTATATATAATAATTAGGAAGACCTTACATCTAGAGAGGAGACATATCCAACAACTGAGATTCCATTCTACTAGCATCAGTAGTAGTAACTTCTACATTTATCTGGGATTGTTAGCTAGAACATTCAAGTTAGAGTAAAGGGTATATACGCTTTAGTTTTTGGATGGCAGGGGCAGTAATGTCCCAAAAGTATGACGGAGGGTATCTGCATATCATTTATGATAATTCGGGGGTATATTTGTCCTTTGTCCCAACTTAAATTGTTTGATTCTCAAAAAATGAAAAGTGTCACATAAATTGGGACAGGGGAAATAATTGATTTATATTTGAAAATTTATGTTGATCGATCAAAATTTAAAATCAATTTTGCGTTATGTTTCAAATTTAAAAAATAATTTATAGTTTGTTTTTAAGTTCATTTTTAAGTAACAGTGTATTTAAATATTAATATTATTTGCATATTATAAAGGAAAACTTACATAGATGTTTTCTATTAAGAAAATATTTATATTATTTGCAATAATTTTTTCACTAGACACTTGTAATAGATTTATAATACAATTTTAATATATTTTATAAACAATAATGTATTAAACATATGATACAAATTTTGTTCGTGGAATACGTTTATCACACACTTTAATATACTTAAGCATAGAAAATAAAAAGGTGTGAATTATGGATAATTACTCCTTATAAATTGACATTTGAAAAGTCTTTGTCGTAGTAAATTTATCCGCACTTCGCTCGATTATGAAAGCAAAAATAATAGCTAACACTGAAGTTCCCATAAACTTCAACAAAAGATCTAACAACTAACAATTCGGAAGAATTAACCTAGAACATGAAAGTCAATGTACCAAAACATCTAACAATGATCCAAGTCTAAACAAGAATGGATACAACCCCATACTAATGAACTAACTAAAACAAATTTCTAAGTCCGGAAATGGTGGACATAGACGAAAGAGAATCCAATGGCAGCCCGGAAGAATTGGCTCACCCTTGAATTCGAACGATCACTGATCTCCTAAGCGAGGTCTGTCAGTAGCCGCTTGAAGATGCCCTGTACTCAAACAAAAATAAGAGCAAGTGCAGTATCAGTACACAACCACAGTGTATTGGTAGGATCACGCGGCTATCCCACTAGTGCAACATAAGCAAGTGAAGACAACATTATAATCACATGCATATATATCAATATATACAATA